TAGTAGTAGTAGTAGTTAAGTAGTAGTAGTAGTAGTGTAGTAGTAAGTAGTAGTAGTAAGTAGTAGTAGTAAGTAGTAGTAGTAAGTAGTAGTAGTAGTAGTAAGTAGTAGTAGTAGTAAGTAGTAGTAGTAAGTAGTAGTAGTAAGTAGTAGTAGTAAGTAGTAGTAGTAAGTAGTAGTAGTAAGTAGTAGTAGTAAGTAGTAGTAGTAGTAGTAGTAGTAGTAGTAAGTAGTAGTAGTAAGTAGTAGTAGTAAGTAGTAGTAGTAAGTAGTAGTAGTAAGTAGTAGTAGTAAGTAGTAGTAGTAGTAGTAAATCAATTAAAACTACTAGGTTAAACATTTTTCTGTCTAGATTTACATACCAATCATTAGTACAGTCTAGTAATGCACAAGCTGTAGAGTGAAATTTTCGAAATCCAACTTGGGAATCATTGAGAAGCTCAAATTTTGTTAAATAGTTATACAGTTGATCATACAATATCCGTTCCATAATTTTACTAATGGCCGGTAAAACTGATATTGGTCTGTAGTTTCCAGGAATACTACGCTGGCCATTTTTATATAGAGGCATCACTCTAGCTACCTTCCATTCATTAGGAAAAGAAGATAAAGTAATAGCCTGATATTCACAAAATCAATGATATTCACCTAAAATATTTAAACACCTTGCCCTAAAAACGTCCAGTTGACACACATACAAATAATACATGCAAGTATTGGACTTCAAGAAAAACTAGCAATGAAAACCGGCTTTTTTGTTTTTAAACACTTTTGTGACCTCATTTTTGACACGACTGAAGTTCAAAACAATTGTTTTCTGTAATAATATTTTGCAATATGTGTAAAATGTCGTGTTTTCTAAGCGCAGACAATTCACTTTTTCAAAATATTTTTTGAAACTTGCCTAAAAACGTGCAGTTGACACACATTTGTAGAATTCAAATATTGAACTTCCAGAAAAACTTGCAATGAAAACCGACTTTTTTGTTTTTAAACACTTTTTTCAGCTTTTTGATCTCATTTTTGACACGACTGAGATTGAAAACAAACTTGTGTCACTATGCACGCATGTTTGCATGTTCTTTTTGCTTCGGGCAGATATATCAGATGTCTGCATGTGATAAAAAATAAATGTGATCGAACATACCTTGTTATGAGAAGCCCAAAACAACCAAATTAAACTTGAAGTTTATTCGCAGTTTTCAAAAAAGAACTTACAGTTAGTGTATCTCCTCTGTGACTATATCAGATTATCAGTATCTACTCTCTGCTTCTCTGTGCTATTATCATGGCTATTATAAGTGCTTCCACTTTCAAAAACAAAAAAATCCTTTTTTTCTCCTTATTTTGACCAAAATTTCCTTCAAAAAATTGTGAAATTTCCTTTTAAATAATTTAATCAAGTTACGTTGAATATTCTCCAAAACAGCCTTTTCTCAACAGAAAAATGATCTGGATGTTCAATTTTATCGTCGCTCTAAAGTCTAAACACAATTATACTACTTTGTTTCCGTACAGATAAGTGAGATAATTAAAAATTACAAACAGAATGACGTCATTCAAAGAGAAAAAAATGAATAATGAGCTACACCGATTATCTTTGTCAGAAATGTTGATATTTTATCGAGTACTCCCTTATTTTTGTAAGAATAAAGTAATAAGAATTACATTATGATTATAACTAAAATATGTTATTGTTTGAAAAATATGAAATTTACGTGCAGGTTGCCTGATGTTCGAATGATGCAGTTATATTAACACCGCTCCAACCGGCACAGTTTGCGTGTTTTACTTTCACATCCTTGTTCATATTTACCCCGAATTAAAAAATGATTTTGTCTTTAATTGGTAGAACGATAATTTAGAATGCATGACTTATCAGAGCGTGTAAGAACATTAAACGTAGAGAATATAAATGAATATATCAATTATCAACAAAGATTTAATTGTGATTTATGCAATTATTTTCATAATATTGATATTACTTGAAGTATTCGCTTTCAAATTATTCTGGACCATGCCATAGATAATTTTATAGATGACTAAATATAAATTCTACAATTTCTACCTTCGGTTAAATTGTGGTCAATAGTTAAATTGTGAGCCATAGTTCAATGCCAAATACCGGATGTTGTTCTCTTACCATGTTTTATGGTATCCGGTTATGGATTTGGCCAGAGCTCCTCGTCGCGCTCGATCGAACGCACGTAAGAAGAGCTCTGGGTACGAGAATGAGTGCCCTGCATGGAACTAAACCATGATATTGCATCCTATCGTTGGCATGGTTTTCTCTTTTTCGGCAGTATACCAATGATTCGTCCGCTTTTCTTACCACGGCAACGGTACATAAAACGGTTACCAAAATTCGCCTATATTATGCAGCATTTCATTCTCTTTCCAATGATGTACTGATTGCGCGACAAGCTCACCAATGTCAAAACGGCAAGGATTAATTGAAGGTGGTAATTACTTTTGTTTATAAAATTACATTGCGCAAACATCTATATTCCGCAAGCGTTCGCCCCAAAATCTGTCTTTCCCAATTGTTCCCGAACTCGACTATATTGAGTTTTATTATTATTATTATTATTATTATTAATCAAAATATTTACACACGGTAGCCTATTCAGTAACTATTAAAAACTAACTTTGTATTTACAAGAGGTACTGGTTTTCAAAGCTGGGCCGGGTAATAAAAACGAAATCTTATTTACTATGATACAGTACTAAATTAAGGTATAACAAGACGCCTGCTCAGGCGTTCACACTGACCTGAAAATGACGACATACGAGCTACGGTGCAATAGACAAGAATACAAGTCGTGAACCGCAGACGCAAAGCGTAAAAGGCTAAAAGCGTGCCGTGATCCTCAGGAGATGTTTTCCTAATGCCCAATAAACACACAAGTATTACTCACAAATACAAACGTTATCCACGAATGCACTGAGCATGCGATGAGCTGTGAGCATTCGATGCGCTAACACAGATAACATTGTTTACATTCCGTGAGTCCGTATATTAAACGTCTAAAATTCGAAAAACTCAGCGATCCAGATATTGCATTTCCAGAGACGTTGCACGAAAAAAACCCAACCAGTCAACTTCCGAGGAAGTGCAGTTTGAAGGTAAAACATCTTAAGTCGAATTTTAGACCCCTACGATTTAAACAGCGCGTTGTTTTGATGTACGTTCTATGGGACGCGCTAAAAATATAAATATTCTGTAAATACCGAAATAAAAGATGAAAATCTGAAGTAAGACACAAGCTTGAAAATAACACTATAAATAGTGTTTTGGATTCTGATTCCATTAATACTATTACGAAAAAGATATGTCCAAAGGGGCCGAAGTTATGTTCGACGAAATGTAGGGCTAGTTTACATTGTTCATTATATTATGAAATATGATACCATGCCTTACTTGTATTAAAATTCGCATCGAAGTTAAAAGTAATGTTATTGTTTGACGCCAGGGGCGGATCTAGGATTTTTCAAACATAAGTCGAACGGCGAAGGCGTGAGACATGCTAGGGGGGTCTGGGG